CGTAATAAGAATCATAATAACAACAACAACAACAGCAACAACAGTAGTAATAATTATTTATTTAACAATTGATTCGACTAGACGAATATTTCTTCCAGGGAATAATAATGACATTTTGTTTGAATATTAATTTGCATCAGCCCACATCAAATATAGAATTCCTAATGAAGCAAGTTTGCCGAACAAGAATTTGGTTAGTTATTAAAGGGAAGTGTAGTGTCACAAAGGTCACACCTAAGGGTGCGATTTGGATTTCCTTTGACCTTGAGGAAGGTTTATTTTTATAGTCCTGGTTTGAGAAAAATTCCATGGCACAGGTTGTCCTACGCCAGCATACAGCATTTGAGAATGTTTAGGAATAAGGGTTGGCAGTAGCAGCGTCCCGCTAAAGAAATACTTCTAGACATGATGTCGACCTGAACAGTACTAAATGGCACTTACATTGAAATAGTTTCGTTTAGGGGGAATAGTTGAAGATAGAATTTTATTATTTTGTATTGATGGTTTTGGAAATGTGTACTACAAGTGCACGAAAAGTACTAAATAGTGCTATATTTGGTACAATCTGTTAGTGGATGAACATATAGCGCTTAAAAACTATAATATAGGTCGCTGTTACTGCACATCCTGGACATAAGAATGTGGTTTCTGATATATGTACTATATTTGTACGAAAAGTACTGAATGGTACTATAGAGGATGAGATAAAAAAAAAACTGCAAACAAAGTCAAACGTCTTAATTTTTACATTTTTTTTTAATTTATTGAATGAAAGCAAAAAATGTCGGAAAAGGTATAAAATTTTAGAATAAGATTAGATTTGAATTGAAACCGTCACAAGCAGCCCGAATGTTGCTCTGCGGTATTGTGGCCCATTCCCGGCGAAGCGCTTGCTTGAGGTTATCGACACTTTGGTATTTTTTAGTGACAACCTTGCTTTCCAAAATACTCCAGACACAATAGTCCAACGGATTGGTATCCGAAGATTTTGGTGGCCATTGTGCCCTGGAAATGAAGCGAGGAACCTCATTTTGTAACGTGGCGCGTGCTAAGTGCGGTGGTGCTGAGTCCTGTTGGAATGTCCAAGGTCTGGGGCCAAAATGTTTGGGTGCCCAAGGCTTTAATACACCCTCCAGAATATTTTCGAGATAATATTCCCCATTTATTCTGACGCCACGGTCGATTAATACGAGCGGAGAGCGACCATCGGCTGTTATGGCGGCCCACACCATCACCATAGCCGGCACTTGAGTTCTGGTGGCCAACCGAAGGTGCACATTTTCAGCTGACCTCTTTGGCAAGTAAACACGATCATTTTGTTTGTTTACAAACTGTTGGACAACGAATGAGAAACCAATCAGCAATCATCGGAGAAAACCAAATTCGGCAGTTCACCACTTTCGGCCAACGATGCAACTCTTTAGTTTGTTGTTTATATCACTGAAGGTATCTGTGTGAGATTTGGCAATGGTTCAGAAATGCATCCTTTATTTCTACGGTAATGGTGCTAAATTTCGTATTGGTGGTATTGGGAATGCGTGCTATAGCTGTACGAAAAGTGTTAAGAAGTAGTTAAGTTGGTATTGGGAGAATGGCTGTAACAGGTAATGAGGGAAATTAAAGAGCCGAAGTCTTGAAATTTGATATTTAGGTCACTGTTGTTATCTGAGATTGAGATATGGAGATTGTTTTGAAAATGTGAACTTTAACTATGCGAAAAAACCAAATGCTTCTAAATTTTGTATTGAGTGAATGTATGGAGCTGGAATCCCCAAATTTAATATTGAGATCTCTGTTGGTATCTTGGATTGTGATATGGAAATGTATACTATAATTGTATGAGGGCTTATATATGGAGACGTTGAAATAATATTGGACAGAAAATTTGGACGTGGGTCCATTTTGCAATGGTTTTACCCTCGGTAAGCGGTAAAAATTAAAGACTTTAAAGATTTTTCGGCGTAATAGTTTAACGTTTTACCATTTTTTGTTGAATTATTATTGATTATTGAATTATTACTGATTATATTATTGATTAACGAACTGTTGGAACGAATCTAAAATTTTAGGGTAAATTTTTCGATGCAAAGTATCGGGAACTTGCTAGTAAGGTAAATAGTAACTTTGAAAGTTTGAAAAAGAGCTGAGAGGTCATGAAAAGTATTTAAAACTCCACCATTGTAATTGATTGATCTGTAAGGGACTTTGAAATTTTGGTCAGGGTAGATCCTGGATATAATAAGGCAGGATTTTCCACAATTTGTTGTTATAGGTACTAAAAGTTGGAAAATTTCACAGTAAGTTATTGGGGGAGCATCTGCAATGGGAATGAAAACTAAAAGACAGACAACTTAAAGAACGAAAACTAAAAGTTATGGTACAATTTTCTTATTAGATTATCAATAAGAACTAGCACTTGCAAATTATTATCACTTTTTGTGTAGGATCGTGATACTGCGAGATTTGTGGACTTTATACTTCATGAATAGAAAAATGGTTAAATATGTGATAATAGATCGAAATTTGAAACTTTGCTGAAATATCAGTTCTAAGGCGGACGAATGTTTTGAAATTCGTTTTTTAGTAGATGACAAATTACTGAATTGTACAAAGTGGTTATTTAACATGAGATAAGAACTGTAGATTTGTGTAAGGTCACTCTTGGTGAAGGAAAAAAATGTGTGTTTTTTTGATAATTCGTACTTAAAGTATGAGAAATTTTGCAAAATAGTACAAAATAGTAGCATCAAATTTTAGAATAAGTTTACATTTGTTCGAATTGGTCACCTTTGGCACGAACTATGGCCTTCAAACGGCCAATGAAACCGTCACACGCTATCCGAAGCCTGCCCGGCGAAGCGCTTGCTTGAGGTGATCGACACTTTCGTATTTTTTAGTGACAACCTTGCTTTCCAAAGTACTCCAGACACAACGGATTGGTATCCGGAGATTTTGGTGGCCATTGTGCGCTAGAAATAAAGCAACTCTTTAGCTCTTTTGAGTCTATTTTCTTTCCGTAGCGGTGTAAGTTCCTGCACTTTTTGGATTTGCAATGACTTTACCCCGAGCTTATTTTACAATATATGCCGAATCGAATATTGCGATATGTTCAGCTCACAAGCCATTTTTCTGCTGATGTTGCTGTTTTCTCTCGTCCACTTCCTTGACGTCGGGCTACGCTACCATTATCACGGTAACGAGCGGTGGTACGAGACACAATACATTTATTTACATTTAAATGCTGGAGTGCTCTAACGATAGCCACTTGTGGTTTTCCAGCCAAATATAAAGAAATCACACTATCATGCTTGAATTCCATCACGAATAACTTTTTTCTGGAAAATTCTGACCAAAATGCTTGTGTACGGTTGTAAACAATATATTGAGTTGTCACTGGAATAATTTTAACAGTTGTCGGATGAGTGGCTTAGAAATGACAGCAGTCTGAAGTTGATGGCAGTTTTTTGATCTCACCCTGTATATATTCGTGATCAGGATAAAATTATATATTAATTTATCCATTTCCATCCCCGCCTGTCTGTCCGTCTGTAGAAATCACTTTAGCTTTCAAACAAAATGAAGTAGGTGGACAAAATTTCACACTCAAAAATTTTAGGTTGGTAGCACTTTTGGTACTGAAAATGGGTCATATAAATCCACGTTTTTGATATAGCCCCCGATTCAAGGTCTGTTGGTTGTTGTAAATTGTCAGTGTGTGTTCCCATTATGTAAGAAACATCCTTGCATAGAACAGAAAATATAGGTCTAAGTTTTGATATAGTCCCCATATAACTGGACCTCCATCGAATTTATTTCAAATGTGATATTTGAGAGAAATTTGCCTATTCAGGTCCTCCCGGTACCTTCCCATGTTCGGTATTTTTATGACACTTTTCACCCAAATTATTTCAAGTTCGTAGTTCGCAGAGAATTGCTTTAGCTGGTGGTACATAAGCAGCTTGGCATCATGGCTAGGCATGTTAATGTCAAATTATAAAGGGAAAACGACGGCAGTATTCCAATGCGACTCTGACATCCGCAACATTTAAGATATGTCACAAAATATGCCATGTGAAGCTTGTGACTTCAAGCTGTTTATGTACTCTCACCTTAAGCCGTCATATAGTGGTGCCTCCCAATATTCGGTGTTTTGAGGCTTAGAATTATTTCATACTTGGTATTTGGAGTTCACCGAGTTATTCCATTCTCTGGCAGATGATGGGCTATATAGGCCCACATAACAGTAACACTGCATATTGTTTTTTTTTTAACTTTGCCTTTTCAAATATTTTTTTCCGTCCCCCAATGGTGGGGGGATTAAAATTTCGACTCGTCCAAACTTAACTTCTTCTTTTTCTTATTAAAATAATATTTCTATGAATATTTCCGAGTACCTGCATATCTACATACTTGGAATTGCAAGCAGTTTATACTTCCAGTATGGCAAGCAAAGTGAAGTGAATGTAATTTTCAGAAACAACAAAAACAAATGCACATCTTAAAGCGGTTGTGACTGATGTTGCTACAAGAGCGACTATACTTGGTGGCAGAAATGAGGAAAAACAAAGGAAAATAAATTTTCTTTAAGAAAAACTTGTTGTGCCCCAACACAACAAAAACAAAAACACAAAACAAAATTCTTTCACTTTGCTTAGTGCTCTGGCAAAGTGGATTCATCCAAGTGGATGGATGGATGGATGGATGTAAGCATAGTTGGATGGATAAATATTAATGATGGTGATGGCGAAGATGACGATGACGATGGTGATGGCGATGATGATGATGTTATACTTTTCGATCAACCTCACGATGATGGTGGTTGGTGATGACGATGTTGAAGTATTTTTCTACTTCTCAATTCCAATACAAATGCAATGCACACTTAGCACTTCCATTTGGGTATTTTCGTATTTATATATGTGCGCGTTGTTGTTATTCTCTTCATTTTCTGTTTTTGGTTAACACAAAAGACAAAACAGTCAGCCAAATTGAGAACTTACCAAGTATTGGAGCAGCATACCAAACAGTCTTTGCCTGTTCCTTTTGTTGTTGTTGCTGCTGTTGCCGTTTCTCGCTGGTCTTAATCAGCCACAATTCATTCAATTTGGGAAAACTGCTTTTGTGTTGTTGTTGCTTTCTTTGATTAAAGGAATGTAGTGTTGTTCTTGTTTTTATTTATTATTGTTGTTGGTGTTATTAATTCACAAACTTGTTTAAAATTCTTTAGCTGCTTTTACAACTTTTCTTTTGTTTGACACTTTTTTCTTTCGAGATTTTCTCTTTGTTTCACTGCAAAAAAAACAAAAAATATTTCTTCAATAAAAAAAAACTTTTCTTTCTTTGGACTTCTTGCTTTTTGATTTTTCACATCTTTTTTTTTCTTTTCTTTTGTTGGGTTACTTGGTTTATTAACATCCAATTTTGTGGTTAATTCAATTTCTTTTTAATTTCCTTTCGTTTTAAATATTTATTTTCTCTTTGTTTGGGCCATTCAAATTTGAACTGCTGCTTGGTTCGTGAGACGAAGAAACCTTTCTTTAACGAAATCTAAAGTTTAACTGAAATGACGTCTTGTTGGTAATATTTGAAAGCCGCTTATTCCAGCTACCACTGACACTGACTCTACTACCACAGGCAAGCAAACAAGCAGCTAGGCAGGCAGGCAGTCAGTCAGCCAACCATCCACTCTACTACCATTTTATTCATACATTCACTTGCTTATGGCCATATGCACTCAGGGGTGTATGTGTTAGACACATACACATACGCACCCACTTAGCCATTACGATTTCATGCACACAGCCCAGCAAACCAAGTGGGTGCAAGCATGTGGAATAATGTCATTACTGTTTTAATAAGATGTAGTAAAATGGTAATTACTAACAAGCAAAATATAAGAAGAGTTTTAATTAAAAAATCAATATGGGGAAAATATGGCTTTCATCAAAATGTGGGGGTTATTTAGACAGAGGGGAAATTCTATTTAATCCCATCCAAATGTCGGATGATGATATAGGAAAAAGTTTATGAATTTCAGCTTCACTTCACCCAATACCAAATTTAGTAATATTCAGTACGCATATTTAAAACAATCTACATCTATCCATCCAACACACCAACAGTGATCCGAAATTAGTACCATTTAGTACTTTTCGCACAATTATAGTACGTATTTGCAAGACCACCACCAGATCTCAACCTAGTGTTGAGAGACCTCAATATAGCAACAGAGACCTCAATATAAAATTTCGGGATTTCAGATCTTTACTTTCAATACTTAATACCAAATTTAGTAACATTTAGTACTTTTCGTATAAATTTAGTACTCATTTGTAAAAGCATTGCATATCTCAATCCAAGACATTAATTTTAGTACAATTTAGTACCTTTTGTACAATTATTGGACATATTTCCAAACCACCGCCAAAATTTCAAATACAGATACCATTAGTAATATCAAATTTCCGAATGTTATCTCTATCTCTTTGCCCAATACCAAATATAGTACCAATCAGTACTTGTCGTACAATTTAAATTTCCGAAACTACCTCCATATATCCATGCTACACCTGAACAGCGAGCCCAATACCAAATTCCAGATTTCAAACACTATCTGTTCACCCCATACCATATAGTACCAAATAAACGCTAGTACTTTTCGTACACAAGTAGTACATACTTCCAAAACCACATTTTTATTACAAACCCCAATAAATCAGCTTCTTCCGATCTACTCTACAACAAACTCTTCCAAACTTAGTACCATTTAGAATTTTTCCAGATGCACCTCCATATCTCAATTCCAGATACCAACAAAGACCTCGAATTTGAGGATTCCAGGTCTAACCTTTCACTCAATACGCAATATAGACCACTTAGTATTTTGGAACAATTATAGTATATATTTCCGAAACCACCTCCATATTTCAATTCCAGATACACACACAGAGGATTCCAGCTCTATCCCTTACCCAATTCCAACTTTGGTAATATTTAGTATTTTCGTACGAATTTCAAGCTTTTAGTTCTATGCGTTCACATAATACCAAATGGTACCATGTTAGTAGTTTAGTAACATTTTTGAATTCGAATTTCCAAAAACCCTTTGGTACATCTATCTTGCACTCCATTAGTGACTCTCATTCCAAATGTAAGAATTCGAAGTCATTTCGTTTGTCCAACACAACGTATTCAATTTTTAGTACCAAGTGAATGTTATTAAATTTGCGGTTCGAAATTACGAGTTCTACGAGAAGGAACATTATCCTTTCATCTGTATGAAATTTAGAATCAATCAGACCAGGCATTATTTTGATGGTAAATAATGCTCTTAACATAAACCGCCCTCCTTCAAGTGATTAAAGATCAATTAACCATAAACGACTCTCACCAGGAGGATATCCAGTTTAACAGGGATTTTGGGAAACCCATTAAATCTAGTTTATGGAGCAATAACTTCTGAACTTGAGAAACAAGTACTAATAGATTGGTATTCGTAGATCTATTTTTCATGAAACTATGTTGAAAAGGTGAAATTATTATTACACATTATTATACTATTTAAGTGTTGTGATATCCTTCACGCTACCAAGTAAGAAGAGTTTGGGAATGTCGCTTAATTTAGCGATACACCTATAATCATCGACGAGACTCAGGGGATTTATGCAGGGGATCTCCAGTAGCATAGAAAATATCCTTTAAATAGGTTGTAATTATAATTTTTAGTAATTAATGTTTTCACTACCGCAAGATTTTAGAATATATCTTGGACTGCCAGCAGGACCTGGAGGTAATAAGGAGCGTAGTGTTCAAACAGAAAAAAACATTATCCTCTTTTAGCATAATATAAGGAAAATGATTTAATTTCTCAATATTATAGTTATAAAATACTTTATAAGTGTAAAATGATTAAAAAAGACGCAAATAAATTAGCAATTACTGATTGATTGACTATTTCCAAGTTTTATACATTCTGGTACAAAGTATTGTTTAAATTTGATATTTAGGTCTTCTCACTCTTTTACCCCAAATCCCAATATTTTTTTGAATACTATTTCTGGTACCTCTCCCACAGCGAAAAGTTGTTGAATAAAAATTTAAATTAGGTGTTGAATAAAAATTTCTTAAATAATCACCACGTATAGACTCTGTCCATAATCGGCGACTCTAATACAGATTTCATAATTCCAGTTCCTTTTTCCATTCATATTTCATTCCATATTATTGATACCAAATTTAGTAGCATTTAGAACTAGCTATAGTATATATTTTAAAAATCAACACACAAAACAATATTGATTCTTATAGCGAATTCAAAATTTCATCTCTTCCGTACCAAAGGTTGTCCAATATATCCACTTTTATTACGAATTTTTATTTAATATTTATAGTATAAAATTTGTAGTTGTTTACAAATGCTCCATCACTCCTTTCGCAACATCATTCCAAATTTCAGATTTCCAAATTCCAAAATTCGAGTGCCCCCATGTTAACTGGGTTATTCAAAATATTTATGAACATAATTTCCTCATTAAAATTAAATAGGTACATATGTTTGTATTTTGTTTACGACTTTCTTCCATGTCGTGCTTGGAGGGTGAGGTGACTCTTGCAAATAATTCTCATTAAAACTTTTTAATGGGATGTGGGATTTTCGCTTTTCATTAAAATCAGCTAATATTTGTACCCTTGTTTTGACACCCAGCTCTTGTTTACCCACAGCATTGATATTCGATGCTGCCTCTAATCGCATTTTAGAATTTTTGGTGAAAGGCGAATGAATCATAAGACGATGCTTATCGCATGGAAAGTTCACTGGGTTATCATCGTCACTCACATAGTTTGTATGGTAGAGTAAAAATGTGAGGCGGAAAAAAATAAAATACGGAAAAAGCATAACAAACAAAAATAACAACAAATAAACGGAATGAAATGAAACGAAACACTTGCACAAAACAAAATCTAAGCTTAAAAACTCGTTTTACCATTATCCATCCAGTGGAGAGCGCAGCAAGCGGATAGATAGACAGTCAGACAAACATATCGAACAACAGCAACAACTATTGTCTCCACTGTTTGCTTATTTTGCCTGTTTGTCTCTCAGCACCATTAGCACGTAGTTTGTGTGTGCCCCGGCTCTATGAAAGTTCCACTCCCCCCAAAACACCATAAGCGCGTTTCACGACAATAGCTATGTTGGTGGTATGTGACAAGAAAATGGGAGAAAATGAGAATGGAGAATAACAACAAATAAAGGTATCCACAACCAGCCAGAACACACTCGACCACAAACAATAACAACAACACATCGAAACCAAACATTATTATTGCTGCCGCTACCGGGGAGTAGCGTAGAGCATGCAGAAAACTTCAGAGGCAACGGAGGGCTGGGACCCAGTAATAAACAAATATTGTGTCGAAGTTGCCAGATGTATTTAATCCAATTTAATCTAACAAATCGTTTTAATGTAGAAATAGAATCGGTTTGATTTTCTCTAGAATGTCTAATATTGCATCTAACATCCAATGGAATTCCATATCTCCCAACTACTGTGCTAGGTTGGACGATCGAGGAATGTCTCATTAGATACATCGGCAAATGTGATATTACAAACCATTCGTGGACCCAGATAAAGTCTGCGTTGAACTTAGCGGTACCTGTTACGCAGGCTTGAGGCGTATTGACCTCTTGTAAAAACTGCAAGAGTGAACTTAGCAAGCTGATAACGCCAGCATCATAATATAGGGAATTTAATAACCCATATATTTATCTGAACTACAAAAACATATTAAATTATGCTTTAGCACTATTATCTAAGAAAAGAAAGATTTACGCTAAGTATAAATATAAAGAACTGTTGTTAGACAAAAGGTATTTAAATATTGTTAATATTAAATATTTTCGACCAAATTTGGTCGGAAATTACCAAGACGGCAACACTGTTTCCAGAAATTGTTCTTTAATCGGAAAATTTACTCACGTGGAGAGAGAACGGTTGATTTTCTCTTAAATGTTTAAACAATATTATTTCTTCACTTTTTACTGATAAAAGAAAATTAATTAATTAAATATATTTTAAATTATAAATAAATTACAAACATATAAAAATATTCGAGTATTTTTCGTTTATTGAATTTCCAATAAGGAACGTAAGAGAAAGAAGGCAACAGAAAGCAACGCAGACGTAATGTTTTGTACATTCTGGCAGTTTACATTGCTTTTGTGTGCGTCCCTGCAAATAATTCTGGACTAGTTACAGTATTGTCTTTTGTATACAGTCATGAACCAC